TTTCTAATGATTTTCTGACTTACAATTAGATCTTCCGATTTCACTATTTTCTATTAAAGAGGATATTTAAAGCGGAGAATATTTACAGTATAGCTTTTTTGATTAACTTTTGGGTTAGGAGCATCCAATATTATAGTTAGATTTGGTTTTAAATAGTTGTATATAAGCAAAATTGCCTTTCCAACACTTTTGATTAATATATCTAAAATAGGTTTAGACTGTTTTTTGTAATTTTCAGATTTATTGTTTTTATTTCTTGTTTTGCTTCACCAGTGATCATCATAATTTTGTGATTTGATTGGCCAAAGATTACATGATTTGCCTCCCTTTAGACATCCTCTCAAAAAAAAAAATTTAACCTATACACTAGGTAGTGATAAGTACCCTTATGTCAAGCAAATTCTGGGTTGAAAATTATAAATTTTATAAATTGAATTCAATAAAATTACAGGATCTTGTGTAATAAAACAATTATAAAAAATATAAAAAAATGCAAGAAATTGTAAATAATATGAAATTTTATTATACCAACTAACTCCCAATTTTGAAAAAAAGTTTCTGGTATGAAATTTTAGTCATAGAGAGTATTTTTATACAGTATACTAAATATATGAGAAATTTTTGATATACTATGACCCAAAATTTTTAGACCAGTATTACTATTCAAGTTGGAAGAGCATCATATAGGATAGTGCTAAGATAGTTCAGAGTGATAAACGAATATCGGGTTATATAAAAATTTTCTTTATTAGGAGAAGAGTTCAAAGAGTATACAGCTTCTACTTTACATGAAAGTCTTAGGCCTTCCTTAAATTTATGCTATTGGATATATATATACTTATATTTATACTAACAAATTTTGAATAAATATATTTTCATACTAATTAAATTATCTAACTTTAAATAGTAACAAACTTCCTTTCTTAATTCTTGAGCTCCTGCGAGACTTAACATCAAACTATAAATTTACAATTACAAAAGAAGAAAATACAAAATTTCATACAAAAAAAAAATAATAATAAAAATAACTTCAATTTCTATACAGGCTCTATTCAAATACCAAGTTCAGGCTTTCTTATATATACAACTTACAAGCAGGTTCATCCAAACAAAAAAAAAATACAAAGATACAACATTTAAAATTCAACAAGATTTGTCTTTGGTTATTATTCTTCATGTCTTCATACTTGGTTTGAGAATATACAAGCGAGGAATCTGAAGTGTATTGTTACTTTCCACACAATTAGCACTATATATTACTATTCAAATTGGAAGAGCATCAAATAAGATAGTGCCAAGATAGTTCAGGGTAGTAAACAAATATCAGGTCATGAACATATTTTATGAAAATTCTCTTTATTAGAAGAAAAGTTCAAAGAGTATATAGCTTTTACTTTACATAAAGGTCTTAGGCCTTCCTTAAATATATGCTATTGGATATACATATATGTGTTCATATTTATACTAACAGATCTTGAATGAATATATTTTCATACTAATTAAATTATCTAATTTTAAATAGTAATACTGGAAGTAATCTTCAGCCCAAAATTTGCTTAATATAAGAATACTTGGGTAGTAATGTGATCCGTTCAAATCTGGATTATCTGGATTACACAAGGTCAAATCCTTATCATACAGATTGATCTGCAATCTGCATATTCATCAGATTTTGAATGAATCGAACAGATGATCTGCAATCTATAGTTAATACGTTTTATAGTTTTTTTAAAACTGTTATTATTAAAAAGTAAATTTAAAGTTATTATATATTATATAGTATTGTTTAAAAATTTAAAGCTAGTTATGTTTTTATATTAAAACTATTAGAACTAATTAGAACCAGTTTCAAACTCTAGATTGAATAGCAAAAATTTGTGAGTAATAGCAATTTGGCTCAATTAGACAAATAATATTGGCTATCAATTGTTGTAAAGTAGCACTTGTTAGCAATCATTTGTCCGATTAAGCCAAATTACCGTTATTTACAAATTTGCCTAATAATAGTATTATCTGATAATTTATAATCATGATTGGTAGGAAGTCACTCACTGAGTTTTTTTTTTTTGAATATTGGAAAAACATAATTACATTATAATATATGAAAAAATAACAGAAAGAAAGTTTTTTATAATTATAAGATAAGAGTTTGTTAAATAATTAACAATATTGTATAAGGATTGAATAGATAAACAAAAATACAGATTTTGAACAGATTATCTGGATTGCAGATTACAGATTGCACTTCTAACCCTGGGGTAGAGGGTCTTATCCAACAGAAACAGTGTTTAGTCCAAAATTTTCGAATTCAAACTGTAAATCATTTCTAACCTGGTTTTGAAATCTAATAAAATTTAAAATATTATAAACTTTTAAGCAAAGATATCTCAATGCTCATTTGATTAAATTCAATAAAAAATTTTTTATTTAAATTCTATAAATCTTTTGAATTTAGATAAAAACATTTTATTGAATTTGGTCAGGTGGGTACTGAAATATCTTTGCTTAATTTGGAAAAAATTTTAAAATATTTATCAAAATAGAAGCTATACTAAATTATTTTTAAAACTTTAAGCAAAGATATCTCAATGACCATCTAACTAAATTTGATGAAGCTTTTTTTATATTAATTTAACTTATTAGTAAAATTCAAATAAAAAATTTTTATCAAATTTGATCAGGTAGTCACTAAAATAACTTTGCTCAAAGTTGGACAAATTTCAGAATATCTAAAAATAGAAGTTATACCAAATATTTTTAAAACTTTAAGTGAAGATATTTCAACAACTATATGACCAAATTTAATGATTTTTTTTTATTTGAATTTTACGGATTTACAGAATTTAAATAAAAAAATTTTTACTAAATTTAGGCAGATAGTTACCAATATATCTTCACTCAAAGCTGAAAAAAAATCAAACCATCTATCAAAATAGAAGCTGCATTGAATTATTTTTAAAACTTTAAGCAAAAATATTTCAGCAACTATCTAACCAACTATAATGAAAATTTTTTTATTCAAATTTTATTAATTTATAGAATGCAAATAAAAAAAATTGCCAAATTTGGTCATCTGCTTGTTGAAATATCTTTACTCAAAGTTTTAAAAATAATTTGGCACAGTTTTTATTTTAATATATGATATTTTGAAAATTTTTCAACTTTGAGTAAAGATATATTGGTGAATACTTGCCTAAATTCAGCAAAAATTTTTTTATTTAAATCCTACAAATCCATAAAATTCAAATAAAAAAATAATTATCAAATTTGGTTAGGTGGTCATCAAAATATCTTTGTTTAAAGTTTTAAAAATATTTGGTTTAACTTCTATTTTAATAATATAGGAGGGAGTCAATAGAAAAGAAACAAATTTTTTCTAAGTAAAAGTTTTTTTAACTTTAGGCTTAAATATCTTGGCAATTATCTTATCAAATTCAATAAAAATTTTTTTATTTTAATTCTATATAATTTCAAGATTAAAATAAAAAAATTTTTAGCAAATTTGATTAATTAGTTGTTGAAATATTTTAATTTAAAAATTAAAAAAATTTCATTAAAAATGATTTGTCCTTTTTCTGTTAACTCCCCCTATATTTTAAATTTTGTCTAATTTTGAGCAAAGTTATCTCATCGACCACCTGACCAAATTCAATGAAAATTTTTTATTTGGATTTTACTAATTTGTCGAATTAGTATAAAAAAAGCTTCATCAAATTTAGTCAAGTAGTTATTAAGATATCTTTATTCAAAGTTTTAAAAATAATTTGATACAACTTCTATTTTGATAGATGTTTTGAAAATTTTTTCCAAATTGAGCAAAGATAACTTAGTGCCCACCCAACCAAATTCAATAAAAAGTTTTTTATCTGAATTAAACAGATTTGTAGAATTCAAATAAAAAAATTTTCATTAAATTTAATCAAGTAATTGTTGAGATATCTTTACTTAAAGTTTTATAATATTTTAAATTTTATAAGATTTCAGAACCAGATCAAAAATGATCTACAGTTTGAATCTAAAAATTTTAAACTACACACTGTTTCTGTTAGTCTTATCCAGAGACAATGATTTTCTGCAAAATGCAAAATATTGCAGAATTTGCAGAATTTACTTATTTTTGCAAAAATTGAATTTTATTACAAATAATTGCAGAATCGATCTAAAATTTGACCAGGATCCAATCAAATTTCAAGTTTTGGCAAAGAGTTTTGAAAGAATGGACAATCAATTAATACAAAATATAAGCATGGTTATTGAAAAGCTTCAGAACATTAGTATTAAACCAAGTTTTGAGTGCAAAAACAAGATTTTTATTGCAAAAATTTGCTAAAATTTTAATTTGTAGATAATTACAGAAATTAAATTTAATTACTGCAGAATTTGAGTTTAATCACTACAAAAAATTATCATCTTTGGTCTTATCCTGTGTCTGTTATGTGACTATGTTTATAAAATTAAATTAAACAAATTAATATAGAATCTTGTATTTTTTCTGTTGTCATTTTCATGATGCTTTTGTCATCATTTTTTTTTTTGCCCTTTCATTGTTGTTTTTGCAGTGCTTTTTGTTACTCTTTTGTGTTGCTTTCATTGTTATTTGGTGGTGTTTTTTGATTATTGTTTGGTGGTGCCTTTGGTTATAATTTGGTAGCATCTTTGGTTATCGTTTAGTAGTGCTTTTGGTTATTGTTTGGTGGTACTTTTATATTGTAGTTTTTTGATATTTCTAGTCATAGTTTGGTAGTGCTTTTGTTTATAGTTTGGTGATATTTTTGGTATCATTTGTTGGTACTTTCTGTTATTGTTTGTTGGTGCTTTTGATTGTTGTTTGGTAGTGTTTTCTGTCATCATTTCATGATATTTTACATTGTAGTTTGTTAGTGTTTCTGATTATAGTTCAGTGATGCTTTTGTTCGTAGTTTGATGGTGCTTTGGGTCATCATTGTTGATGCTTTCTATTATTGTTTTCTAGTGCTTTTGATCATCATTTGGTATGTCTGTTATTTGTTGGTGTTTTGATTGTTATTTGTTGGTGGTTTTATCATCATTTGGTGGTGCTTTTGATTATCGTTTGGTGGTGTTTTACGTTGTTTAATAGTTAGTTGTTGGTGCTTTTGGTTGTTATTTGGTGGTACTTTTGTTAATGATTTGATTATTGTTGTTGGTGCTTTAGATCATTATTTGCTATGTGCTTTACAGGTAAAAAAAAGGCAAATCAGTATATTTACTAATTTTAGATAAATTAACAAATAGATATCAATAGGCATACTAATTTGAGTCTGATAGGATACTGATTTGAAGATATTAGACAAAATTATCATTTGCCGATTGTTTTTGGATTTTGGCGCAAATCAGCCTAAAATAGACTTCAATCAGAAATGCCTATTTGAGCTAATTTATTGATTTGAATTCTAATTAGACAAATATACTACAATTGGCAAAATTACTAGCTCAACAATTTTTATTAAATAGCATTTTAGCCGATTACAAATTATTTACCAATCGGAATAAAAAATAAGCTATAATTTTAAAAATAAAATTTACTAATTAGTATGCAAGACTTTTTTATAAAATAAAGTGCTTTAGTTAATTGATCAAAATAGGTCAGGGGCAAATTTTAATTAATAAAAAATTGGGTTCTGAATCAATTGTTCAATGAATGATGCAAGGCTACGATTAGTTTACTATATTATAGAGAAAATTAATTAGCAGAAGATCGTTTAGCCGATCAAAAGTATTTATCATTCTAATTAAAAGGAGTAGTGGCCCAAATTTTCTTTTTTTTTCACAGAGCTATACTAATTGGTTAAAATTTTTCATTGATCAATTCTAAAAAATAACTGTTCAAACACTTTACTCTATAAATCTTCAAAATCGTAACCAGCACAGACAAATCATTCATTCTAGAAACCTTCACTTCGAATAAAAAAAAGCAAAAAGCTGAAATTTCAAGAATAGCCAATACATATCATCTTCTGGCCTTTATTTCTACAATATTAAATACAACAATTCCATTTATTCTTCCTTCACAAGAAGCATTACTATATAAATAAGCATTGCTAGAAATGCTAGAAACATTAGATAAATTAGAAGTATATGCCAATTCTAATATATTTTCTTTGCTATAATCGTTATTGGATAATTTTAAAAATGAAACCAAAAATATTATTTTAATATTAATATAAGCTATATATAAAATTCAAGATTATTGGAAAAGAAACTGGAATTGCTAATACAGGTTTTGATCTTTCTGTTAGTTCATTGTTTTTTTTTTTATTACAGTATTGTAAAACAATTTTTTACAATTAGTAATTAGAAGATAGCAATAATAAAAGTATTTGCTCAACTATCAATCACAATTAATATTTCAATTATTACAATGCTTGAACGTAAACACAATCACAAATCAATTACATTGAGGATGATACATGAGAATACATCAATTATATCATTATTTGCTCTACTGATTTTTAATGAAGATTTAATTAAATTTTATATAACGGTTGAACACTATTATTATCATTATCTAATTAATTAAGTGTGCTACTTGAGAACACCTTTTAATAAACTATAGAAATTACAGCAGTGCCTAGGGCCATTCTCAAGCACCTCACTCAATAGATTGGACATAAATTTTTAATTCAATCAAGTGAGTTACCAATTCAATTTTCTCTAAAAATTTACCATTAATGAAGATCATTCAAACATACTTTTACATTTTAACATATCAAACATAATAAACAATGAATTCACAACAAATTCGCAACAAATTTCAAACCAGTCTAAATAGTCAACACCTTGATATGAACGTAATTAATACAACCCATCTTTTAATACAGGTTGAATAAATTAATAATATGCTAAAATAACAGATATATACTGGTAAATAACAGAACACAAAACTCCTGATATTCACTCTATATGCTACACCAAATAACTGTAGCATATTAGTAGTAGACTAATATTAAGATATAGGTACCTACGGGTAGGAATGGGTTCGGTCGACTACAATCAGTTATTGACTCTTAGCCGGTTAGCTGATTGGCTAAAGCGGCTATTAGTCGACTATAGCCGATCAGTTATTTAATCAATTATTTAATAATAATCAATATAAACTAAGAGTATATAAATGCACCCTAAGCATATATAAATTTACATACAGGCTGGTTGAGTATCATATGTTGATCTTTATCAAAACAATCTAATTCTGGCCAAATTTGCAGATCATTTGGATGGAAAATCCAGAGATATGATCTGCAAATTTGACCAGAATTAGATTGTTTTGACAAAGATCGACACGTTATTGTAATGCACTCCTACTTAGGGTTGGCATTACATAAATTACATTTTACGTTACATGAAATTACATTGTAACTTACGAAATTGTAATGTAACTTTACATTAAATAGTGTATTGTCACGTGATAATTGCGCCAGCATTAAATAAGTTTTGCTGGCATTAATAGTTATCTGTTATTATGTTTGGAACTGTAATTTTATACTTACTTTGATGCCAGATTTATAAAAGTTTTGGCCAAAATTATTCGTATAATCAAAATTACATGTAATTTTGATTTCTGAAACTTTCACTAATTTATGTAAAATTTGCCAACCCTACTCCTACTTTTTGTGCTAGATTATATTGATCATTGGCCTAGATTGATCGACATCGGCTTGCATTAAGCTAATTTTGAGGTTAGCATTAAGTTGGTTTAGGTTACGGTTAGATGAGAATTTAAAGTAAGTTTTATTACCAAAATTATGAGAGAAATTTTTTTTATTAGAGATAGAAAAACTTTTTCTTAATTTTGTCGATCATGATTGACATAACCTGGCACAGAAAGTAGGGATACTATTGTAATACAATAATAAAAGATGTGACAAACAATGATATGACAAATATGGGAGTGACGAATAAATAATGAATTTGTTGTGTGTTATTCGTCACATACTATCTGTTACACATGTATTTGTCACATCAAAATGGAAAAATTTAAAGTGCTCATGATTATTATTTATATTAAAAATCTAGCATTGGTTACGATTTAGTCAGTCGACTAAGCTGCTCTGACCAACTAACATCGACTACGGCTATAGCCGCCGGCTAAGCGACTAAGCCGTAACCGAACCCATCCCTACCTATGGTAAAGTATTAGTAACATCCAATATTCTACTTATATATTTAAAAGTAAAATATCAGGATTACTAATATTTTACTACTATATGTACCAATACCTATTATCATAATATTAGTTATGCTACAGTTATTTGGCGTAGTATACAGGGTGAATATCTATCTTTATTCATCAAATACTGTCATTAATTACTCTTACATATGGTATCTTAATTTGGCCACAGAAAAATTATACTCCTGCATTATTAATAGCAAAAAATTCCAATATGGATAGATTAGTTATACAACCAAGATTCAGAAAATTGGCCAAAGTTTAGATTGGAATGCTTCGAAGTTAGTCAGACATTAATCCTAGCTAAAAATAAAAATTTGAGCATGAAAATGTATATATTAAAAAAAAAACCATTTCATTGATGAATAGAATGTTGTTTTTCGACCAAGATTAGTATATACAAAAGGTTATAGCAAACATGCCAGAAGAATGGCTTGAAAAAGCTATTCCCGAAGGACATATTAATTATATCAAATATAATAAGTTTACAAATCTATTGAAATTGGCATTTGGAGGTTTTGGAAAGGTTCTTAAATACAAGTGAAGAGACAGCGAATTAGGTCACATGGTTTACTATTATTCTGTGAAATACACTGTATCCACTGATATCCATTAAATAACAAGAAACTATTCCAGTAATGATACGATAGTTTGTAGTTAAAATTGAATTAGTTAGTAACGTAGTTTATATCATAAGTTGATATAAAAAAAATTTGTTACAAACTTACTCGCCATTTCAGTAATCATCATATGTGGTGAGTTAGTTTGTATTAGAATTATCGTAATTTCATTATTTCATTTATTTGTTGCTGTAAAAGTTACTATAAAATAATTCACTATTCTAATATTATATATTATATAGTCAAAGTTGAGTTATTTTGCATTGAAATTATCGTAAATTCTACTATAAGCTATAGTAAAACTCACTATAGTTAAAATTAAATTAGTTAGTATTATAGTTTATTATTATAAGTTAATATAAAAAAATTTGTTACAAACTTACTTACCATTCCAGTAATCATAATATGTGGTGAGTTAATTTGTATTGGAATTATCATAATTTCATTATTTCATTATTTGTTGCGTAAAAGAATTTGATATTCTAATATTATGTAGTCAAAGTCGAGTTATTTTGCATCAGAATTATCGTAAATTCTACTATGAGCTATAGTAAACTTGCTATAGTTAAAATTGAATTAGTTAGTATCGTAGTTTATACAGTATATCATAAGTTGATATAAAAAAATTTGTTACAAACTTACTTGCTATTCCAGTAATCATAATATGTGGTGAGTTAGTTTGTATTGGAATTATTGTAATTTCATTATTTCATCTGTAAAAGCTACCGTTAAAGAATTTGCCATTAAATCAATGTGAACAAAATGAAATTAAATAATAAATATTCATAAACTTAGATAATTTTTTAAATACATAATAAGTTTCTTAATATAGATTAACATGAATTAAATACATAGTAAATATTTATAAATTTTCTTTATACCCACATGTTAAATCAATACAAACAAAGTTGAAAGTGAATACATAGTAAACATTCTAAATACTTTAAATTAATAAAATTTTTTAATACTTGCCATATATTAACGTGAATAAAAAAAGTCAATCAAGTAGTAAATATTTATAAACTAAATTAACACTTAGATTATTAAATATTCGATAATTTTTAAATGCTTAAATAAATTTTTTAATATAGACATATACTTACTATGTATTGGTATAGATTATTAATATGAAAAAAGTCAATTAAGTTTGTTGTTTTAAATATGTGAGTAAATTTAATGAACTTATATATATTTAGAATAATTGTAGTATGCATATACAAGCGGATAACATGTGAATGTATACATACATACGTTGTGAATAGCCCCGGTCCTAACCTATAATAGTTTGTACATACAATTGGATAACATGTGAATGTATACATACATACGTACATTGTAAAGGGCCCCAGTTCAAACCTTACGAATTTTTGAGTTATTCTTTATCATTATACGTAGAGTAAAAGCTTAGCATAGCATAGTTGGTACATAGTATATATGGTTCAAACAAAAGCCCCAAAAATATACTACCTTATTTAGAGTTCTCGAAGGATTTTGCGAACCTTTGTACTTTTTAAACTGAACTTCTTGAATTTTTTGTACTTAGAACTTAGCGTATATCATATTTACTAAGAAAGATTAATAAATATCACAGTAATGTAAAAGTTATAAATATAGAACCTTTTTCGCTTCAATAAAGCTTCTTAGTTGAGTTTTAACCTTTGAAGTTCGAGTAGAAGTGTTAGCTCTAAGAAGTTTCCCTTTAATAATAATAAGTCATTATAAAATAAATCAGCGTAACAACTTTCTTGTTCTTGTGATTTCTTTTCCATATTTTTTGTAAGAGTAAGAGAGAAAAAGTATTGATTAGTAATTCACTCTCTTTATAATAAAATCACAATTAATTAAAGTCAAATTAACTATATACCATTCTATTTTGATGCTAATCATGTGATTGCCGTTAAGGATTTTAACGATTGAAGTCAAATATTGAAACTCCGTCGCACTAAACTTGAAAAAAGAGTTATCTCTAGTCTCATATTGAAGCATTCAAATATAACCCATATAAATAAAACCCAAAAGATATACTTATCTCTGTCTCCAGTTACGCTGCAGCAAGACCCTGAAATCTTGAAATTCAGATCATGTCTCCAATTCAGGTTTTAGAAGTCTTGGAATGATTATTTGCTAGTTTTAGTGTTAAGATTAGCCAGATTGGTTAGTTTTAGCTTTCGCTCTATTAGTTACCACTTTTTCAATATACGTATATATTAAAATTTGATTTGAAATTTAACATACTGTCGACTACGCATGTTATACTAACCTGCCAACTATAATTTTTTATTTTTTATTTTTTTAATGTACGTTGTGAGAGGTCTGACTCCCGATTATTATTATTATTTTTTCTATTATTATTATTCTTTCTTATATGTATTAAAATTCAATTAGTGTGTGTGTATTTCAATCCAGCACTAAGATAGAAGTTACCTTATATACATAGTCCATTTCATACCAATTTGTCAGATTGTTTGGGTCTAACAATTTGGTCTTTTCTGATAATTCGTTCCTATTTTCAGATTAGGTGCATTATATTTATCTAACACCTCATTTATATTTGTCAGATTAGGTAGATTAGACACTTTGCCTATAGATCTCTTGTAAAAAAAAACCTGTAAGGTATGTATAAGAGCAATGCCTCTGTCGCGTTGAAATAAAGCTAAACTGAACTGAGTTCTTAACTTCGAAACAATAAGTTAATTGTAATAAAACTGTTGTTCATATTTCTGGCCTGTAATCTTGTTGAAAATTCGTATTATCCAATTTCATAGCAAAAGTAGAAAAGAGAAAGTATTAACTCAGAATCTAAAAACCTCCTTTTATAACAAAATACAATTGATAAGACTTTGATCGAACATCATTCTTACTTCTATATCAATACTGCGATCCTATATTAATCCTGTAACTCACGTGACAATCATTAAGAATCTTAACGATTGTATTGAAGACTGAAACTTGCTAAATCCAAATCTAAGAAAAAGAGTTATTTTTAGCTTCTAGCCAAAGCATATTAATAATTAGTAAAATCATAACTCTTAATTATGCTTATCTCAAGCTCCAGTATCGCTGCTGCAAGACCTGATAACTTATTTTAAACACTTAAACTAATAAATTTTCTTTACACAGTACTTACATAAAAAAATGAATTTAAATAGTAACAATAAATATTCATTGATTTGAATGGTTTAATTTACTAACAAAAAATTTTGATTATAGTAAAATTACTTAATAGTCTGACTATTTAGTTAATCTATTGCGAGATATATTTGCTCATTTTATAATAAAGGAATTAGGTATAAATGAATAGATAAATATCGATTTTGCAATTAATAATTTTATACTATATAGCATAATGTAAGGCTATATAAAGTTAATAGTAGAATTTAACTTGGCTATTTTATGAAAACCAACTTATTAATTTATATGGCCTAAATTATATATAAAATTTTATTCCTAAAGAAATAATGGCCATCAAAGTAACTAGATTTTTTTTTGCCTATTTTATATCTACAGTGCACAAAATAAACTGTTTTAAGTTGTTTTTATTCTTATAGCATTTGCCAAACATACAAAGACTTTATGACTCTGGAAGATAAATTTTTGAGTAGGAATTATAGTTTAAGAAAAAAATAGATTGACTAGCTTTTATATTTTAAGCAGTTTTATATCAACAATATACTAGTTAAGCAAAATATCAGTTTATATGCAGAAGTGATATAGAGTAAAATTCTATATATTTTCTTGCAAATGTGATTCATACATAGCAAATAATAAACAACTAACTAGTATTTCATAATCTGAGAATAATTATTTTTTATACATCCTATTTTTGTATTTTGATACCCTTTGAGAAAGCATATTAGATGATCATTCATCACAGGCATTTTGCACAGCCATTTTCAGAGACCCTTCGTAGCCACTAACTGACCAATTCGGCACCAAAAATGGCTTTGATAGTTCCTTTTCATAATAACCAACAGTATCCTGAACATGAGATCGTATTTTTGAAATCTTAGACGATTCAGCAAATATGCGATCAACATAATTATGTAGAAATTACTGTAACTATATAAAAAAAATTAATATGAAAACCTTAAAAAGGGTAATCATTATTAAACTTATAGTAGTTGATCGCCATCTCAAATCCTTGGTAATGACCTTTCTTTTACTGGAAGGATTCTCTTCATCTGTTTCTGAAACTTCTGGTGAATAGTATCTACTGCTGTTTTTAATTGGCCTAAGCTCTCAATTTCTAAATAACCTAACCAGTGGATCATTAATTGCATGTAGATGTTCAATTGTTTTCAATCTATTTGTTCGCTTCTATAGATTATAAATGTTATAATTAGTAAATAATCAGAAAAAAAAAACAATTACAAAATAAATTTACTTCGTTTCTTCTGTTATTCCGATGTTTTCGTTTAGCACATTTATTTTGGCACACAATAGGTTGCTGTTTAAACAAATGCTCCTTATGCTTATGCTTATGATGACGATGAATTATATCATACACAATAGCTTCAGAAACTGAAAACATTTCTAAATCTAATATACTCATTACTGTTGGAACTATAGTATTATTTACTAAATCTTTTTGAGAACTGAATGTTTGATCTAATTTTAATTGGCTTTAAGCTGGCATTCTTTCAATGATCCAAAAAACTTGACGCTAAATATAAAATATAAAATAATTATTTAATACGGTATGTATAATAACTACAAAATATATGAAAACTTACTTTTGTAACAACTCTGAGATTATAAGAAAGAACATTAATAGATAAGTATTTAGCATTATATGAATAATGGATTGAAGAAATATTTTGGCTTGGTTTGTCTCAAGATCTTGATTGACTCTGGCTCAATCGGTTTTGAAATCTTGATCAATTTCAGTCTTGAGATCTTGATCGACTCTGGCTCAATCGGTCTTGAGATCTTGATTGACTCTGGCTTAATCGGTCTTGAGATCTTGATCGATCTCTATTTGATTGGCCTTGAGTTGACCGATCTCTGTCTTGGGTTTGCTTATATATGTCTGATTCTGGTCTTATTACATTCTTAAGAAATTCTTCAAACAAATTTTGAATCTCTTGTCGTGTTAATAAAGTAACTTGGTCTGAAAAATATATTAATTGTATAAATTATGGTTTAATGTAGATATGCAATTGCAGAGATAAGGCTTACCTCCTTTATTTTTCATTTGACTTATTATACCTCTATCTTTGTTTTTTGACAAACTTGATTGAGACTTATTTTGACCATGCTCAAAATGATAGGAGCTTCTGCGATGCATAATATACATATATATATATAAAAATATATATGACAAATAAGTCTGATTACTCCTTTGATTACTTCTTTTATGCTGTGGTTCTTATATATATATATCGAACTAAGAATCTAGCAAAAAATAAAAATTTTTATATATAGATATTATTTATTATCACAAGGTATAGTTATATAACTTCAAAATCTAATAACGATTTATCTATGAAACTTACGACATAGTATTGCATAACAATCATATAGCTTAAAAATTTAATAATGACATAAGCACAAATATTCTATGACATAAAGATATATAACTAAAAGATTTACTAATCACGATGAATAAATAAAAAACATCTTTTTAAAAACTTAATAGACATATTGCATAAGTTAGAGTTTTATCAATATACTCTATAGATGCCCTATAAAACTCTTTGCTATTAATAAATTGATGATAAAATTAACATAACTGTAAGTTTCGTCATTGATAAAATAATGAAACTACATAATTTTGTTAGGCCATGTAAGTTTGTCAAACATCATTACTATATTCCTGATTAATACTCTGTCAATATAAAAATTTATTGAATATTTATCATGCTAATGACTTGCTAGTTCGGATGAAACAATTAAATTAACAATTTAAACTTCTAAAAGTTACATCTTATAACACTCATAAGTTGATTAATAATAAGAGCACAGTGGAACTTCTAAGATATATTGTATAACTACTGAACTAGAGATGAGATTAAATGCGCATCTTATACGAGTAGAATACTACCTATAATATAATTATATTATAGATGGTATCCATCCCACTTAGGTTAGATTATATAATCTAGATACCACTATATAATCTAAATATCATTAGATAATCTAGATATTTCTATATAGTCTGAATAGCACTATATAATCTGAGCACCATTATATGATCTAAATAATATAATCTAATAAACACTATATAATCTAAACATGTGATCTAATTACTACTATATAATCTATATATTTCCTATATTGGATATCTATTTTATGTTCTAGCTATCTCTTTGAACTTTTTCTGATATTTATATTTTACCACTATACGATCTAACTACCACCCACTATTTAATCTAACTACTAGTATATAATTTAAATACTGCTATTTTCTTCTTGTTCCTAATCTATTTACATATCAAATTCTATATTGTTTATACTGGCCTTCTATACCTATTTAGATGCCTAGTTTTATATTTGGAGGTGCTGGCCCTCTGTGCTGGTCTGGGTACTTGATTCTATTTTGAGGTACTTACCTTTTTGCGTCTATTCAGTTGCTTATTAAAATACCAAAATGTGGTAAAAAAAATATTGTGTTGGGTGGTGCAGTAAATTTGTGGTTAATTTTGGCTAATATTATAGTATAATTCTGGCTAATTTTTAGAATACATAATTTGAGGATCCAACTTGGCACTATAATAGTGACCTAATAGTGCCTAGAACTATCATGACACTGGCAGGAACTAGAAAGATTCTAATAGTTTGCCAGTTTCAGATCACATTTTGGTTGCCAAGTTATTATACCCAAAGATCTGGCTAAAATTATAGAAAAATGCTAGCAAAATTAAGTGAAAAATTTCTGTGCTTTGGTTTCATGCACTTTCGAGTAACTTTTAAGGTTCTGGTTTGGTAGTGAGTTAGTTAGAGGATTAGAATTGCCAATACTTTCAGATACATATCCAATGTACCATACCCAGAGCATATATTGAAAAATGAAGGCTTCTGCCAAATTTTATAATAATATATTATGCAGTTACCTTCACTTTTAGTTGTATATTTAGATACTCTTCTTTTATATTTTGCTATCTAAGTTCGCTATCGCTTCTTTTTTGCATTTATTAAAAAAATCGCATCAGAATATAATTATTACAAACTTACTTATCCTAAATTCCACCTATCAAGAATATATTTATTTATGTTTATATGTTTTCACTATATCTGAGTATATATTTAAAGAAAATGGAGCCTTCTGCCATTTTTATATAATATAATTATGCAGAAGGCTCCACTTTCAAATACATATCTGCTTACCTTCTATTTACGATTTGTTAACTAAGTTTGTTATCGCATATTAATTGCATTCATTGAAAAACTTAATTAAACATTTCAGAAATATATTTTAATATAATAACTTTACCTCAGATTCTCAATTTTATATCACATTTTCTCATTTTATACGCGTCTATATGCAATGTGGTGAGTAAATATATTATTAATTAATATCAGAAAAAATAATTATTATATTACTTCGATTATATTCTAAAAAAATAAATTATATTATTCAGTCGAAAGTAATAATCTATAATTAAACTATTTATCAGAATCAGTCAGTTAAACAATTGTAATTTCTGTCTCATCTCTCAGTCTTAATACAGTATTTTTTGGTAGATTAAGATGAGATAATACTAAATTAATTTGTTTTGCAAACAGAGATGAGATAAATAATTTGTTTGTATTTCTCTTTCTGGGTCTATTAGTATTAATTGCACTTATACTATATTGTGTAGAAGAAGTTGTTTCCTTGAGACTACATTAGAAAAAAATTTTTAGTACTGTTCTGCGTAAATTTGCAAAAAACTAAATAATATATTAAATGAAAATCAGTGCAAAACTTCAGACTCACCAGCTATAGAAATTAAATACAGTTCTGTATAAAATTTCAAAATATAAAAAATTTTGTATTTTTTGTGAAAAATTTTGCAAAAATCTGCATTTTCGCAGGTTTTTGCAGATTTGCACTTATTTAATTATCCCAATGTAGTTAACAAATGCGATTTATCTAGTCCCAAAGAGATCTCTTCAGTCTTAGCTTTGGAACATTCATTATCCTAATAATATATAGTTATTGGATGCGAAGCATCCAATAACTAGAATTATTTGGCATGATGTAACAATTGTATCATAATCTGTGTGATCATGATACTATTGTTACACATGACAAATAATGAAAAGTATTTTGTGTGGAATTTGATCAGGAGATGTCTGGGCCCCACAGGGGCCCAGACATCGACTGGTTAAATTCCACACAAAATACGTCAGTTATTGGTGCGGAGCATTCAATAACGGTATTATCTGGCTTCCTACGGCGATCGGGGTATTTATTCATTATGAAAATTAAGTTAATGATGTAAACAATAATAAATTGAATTTTTTTTTTTTACGAATAACTTTTTATCTTTCATATTGACTTTTTTTTTCTCTCTTTCACTCTTGATTTTTTTATTTACACAAAATGAACGAACCTATTATATTAAAAAAAATAAAA